CCCTTTTTGTTGCTCTTGGAGACGGACTGCCATCTAGTGGATGTTATATTATGAACATCACTTTCCAAAACTGCTGGAGTCTCACTTATACAGCATTCGTATGCACAGATTTAGTCTGAAAACGATATGAGGTGAAAATTCAGGTTTAAATAGTGATTTATAAAATGTGAATTTGATGTAAATAAATGTAAGTTTCCAACGTGACCAGTGATATCTAAAGTTTAGTAAGGGTGGCAAAGGATTGACATGTTCATGCTGCATCCAGGTTTCAGGGCTAGGGGGGTGGAGATTAAAGGATAATATGTATTAATATAGTGTAGATTTACAAAGTACTGATTTATGTAGTGATCTGTCCAACTATCCATTAATCACCCCTCTCATAAACAGTGCCAGTGTGGTACAGGAATTACAGTGTGCAATTTATTCCAATAGCATGAGGATGAAATTCATGCCAAACAAATGAAAAACTACATAAACAATAATGCAAGACAGAGCTAATTTATTTTACCTTACTAAGCGACGCAAGTCTATCCACGTTAAGGCTCACACAGACCTGGTTCTACAGTACAGTAAAGTCTACAGTAATTTAGCTGTAGTCTGTGATATCTGTTACCACCTAGGTAGTAATAAAGCACCAAAAACAATGAAACACAGCTTGTTAGCTTCATACAGATGTAGTCCAGTTTTCAAAGGTCTATATTTTGGGGTTCAAATTACACTCCGATTGTAGTGCACAGGATTTTCAGTGGAACTCAAGCCTTCGCAGAAGACCGCTCCACAAAAACTAGCTGATTAAGCGATGTATCCTGTTTCACTTCATTTATACCTAGTTTAAGTTTAATCAAACCCATAGAGAAATCGAATATACGGCAATATCTAGATTTCACATATGTGACATATATTAGCATAGATGGATTTCCCTTATACACCGATCAGGCATAACATTATGACCACCTCCTTGTTTCTACACTCATTGTCCATTTTATCAGCTCCACTTACTATATAGGTGCACTTTGTTGTTCTACAATTACAGACTGTAGTCCATCTGTTTCTCTGCATACTTTGTTAGCACCTTTTACCCTGTTCCTCAGTGGTCAGGACCCCCATGGACCCTCACAGAGCAGGTATTATTTGGGTGGTGGATCATTCTCAGCACTCCAGTAACACTGACGTGGTGGTGGTGTGTTAGTGTGTGTTGTGCTGGTGCGAGAGGATCAGACACAGCAGTGCTGCTGAAGTTTTTAAACACTGTGTCCACTCACTGTCCACTCTATTAGACACTCCTACCTTGTCGGTCCACCTTGTAGATGTAAAGTCAGAGACAATAGCTCATCTGCTGCTGCACAGTTTGTGTTGGTCATCCTCTAGTCCTTCAGTATGCAGAGAAACAGATGGACTACAGTCTGTAATTGTAGAACTACAAAGTGCACCTATATAGTAGGTGGAGCTGATAAAATGGACAATGAGCATAGAAACAAGGAGTGTTATGCCTGATCAGTGTATAAACAAATTATATTTGTCACATATGGAAATATATGTGGCATACATGCCAATGTGTTTGAAATTGGCCATTTTTAAATATGGGACATATATTTCAGCCATATTTAAAAATATAAAAACATGTGTAACACATATCTACAATGATAAAAAATATATTTTATATAAATATGACATATATTACTCATACACTAGCTTCATGTAATATAAGGTTTTTATCCATCTTTGTTTCAACATACTTCATAATGAAGTGAAATGTAGTATATTTACATGCCTGAACAGTAGAAATGTGCACAATGTAAGTGCACAATAAAATCATGAAAATGTGAAATACATTAAAATATTGCTCCCTGACGCATTTAAATAATTTAATATTCAAAAGCAAACAGATAGTAATAGTAAAAATCGGGCTTCACTAGAGGTTTATAGATAGCGGCGCTAAGCTTGTACTAAGGGGTCTGGTGGCATGGCCCTCCAGGAGCATTTTATCATTAACTTTTGGAGCAGAAACAGCCAGAAAATGTATCAAAAATCAACACACAGTAGAGCTTTGTAGTTTGTATTACGCACAGAGCTGGTATGACTTAAACACTATATCAATCCACTTTTAATGCAGATCAAGCTAAGGTACTGAATTCAAGCAATGCTGTCTCCACGCTCTTAGATAAGCTGCAAGGTCCTAAATATATAATTCAAATACACAGATTATAGATCAGCTTAGTTGGTGCAATCAGAAAGAGTGTGATTTTGCTCTGTAGGCACGTTTAATAAGCTAGATTTTAAACATTTAAGCCGTATGTCTTCATGGTCATAGTGACAAATATTACATTTTCTCAGTTAAGTAAATTAAAATCAGTATTAAGTTTAACTGAGAGCTTGAACAACTCTCCCTCACTTCTTAATCACTAACCTCCATCAGATCTGCTCCTTCAGTCTCCTTCAGCTTCTTTCTCTGCATCTCTTCCTGTGTCTAGTAACACAAACTTATTTGTGTATGAGACATACAAGAACTCAGGGAAATAATGAGAGCTCAATTAATTTCATTGTTTTGGATTTAACTGGTAAAAATCTTCTCATATGAATGGCCTTCGGCGGAGCTGCCACCTCTTAATTTCCATCTACAGGTTGAGGAATTGAGAGATATAAAATTGTGTTATGATCAACACTATGTGAACTTTTCACTGGCGTCAACTCCCCCCAGGTCGCTCCCTGCTATCACAGTCCATTGTGAAAGAAAGTAAATTATAGATGATAAACTATAGATGCTAAAATACCCCCTAAACTGGCCTAGCAACGCCCATTGTAAACAATTATAACTAGGGATGGATTCAGACATATATGGATTCAGACATGTATTCACCCACCATCACATAGAGGTGTAATCCATATATTATGCATATATGACCATTATTTGATTCTTGTATCAGATATATGTACATATAATTTAAAACATATGCTTGACACTTTATGAAATATGGCCGTATGTCTGATTCCTGTATGGGAAGGAGCTTGTTTAAACACTGCACCTTAAGTAAGTCTGTGCTTTTCTCCGCTCATCCCTATGGGGCTGACTCTGGGGTGAGACCCTCATGCAGCTTCATTATGCTGTGGGATGAGGGCCTCTAGTGCTCTTTGGTGGCACTGCTGCTCTGCTCTGCTGGCTAAACATCCCATCAGTGTCGCATACTGCACTCATTACTGACAACACAGAGGTTTAAAGTCTGCTCTGCAGGAAAAAATATTACAGCAAACGTTTTAGCTGCTAAAGTATTAACAACAGGAATTACTAAACAGAGCACTGACCACAAAAACAGACACACAAAAATACATTGTTGGTGCAGCTAATGTACCAAGCTGAGATGCAATAAGCGAGGATGCTCTCATTGCTGCAGTGGTAGAGGGTGGCAAGCAGGCCTTTGCCGACATGTACTTTCTTGAGTAATCTCAGAAAGTAGAGCTGTTGTTGTGCCTTCATTTCCACTGCTGTGGTGTTGACCCCACCATGATAAATCATCTGATATCTGGACACCCAGGAACTTGAAACTTGACACTCTGAGGATGTGGATACCTCAGTATTTCCTACATTTGTGTCTTCCTGCACTTTTTAGTGCACAATTTCTGAGTTGAACACATTGAAAAAAATAAAACATAAAGTATTAAACGTGTCATAACTTTTGCACAGGCCGCATTTAACTTTTCTGAATTCAGCAAATAAACAGTAACAGCAAAATGTGCAGAAGTGTGTTCTCTGTGCAGGATTTGTATTTTTACTTAGAAAATCAACAAAACGTTCATTGTGGCAGGCAAACCTTAACATTTCACTATAGATATTTACTTATATATACTATATATATATATAAATATATATATATATATATATATATATATATATATATATATATATATATATATATACTCTCAGAAAGATCCGATTTCTTATTTCTTATTCTTCTTACCAGACAACTTGAGCAACACTGACAGCCCTGAAGTCTCCTGTTTGCGCACAGTGCATTGTTTGAGCAATTTCTCTGCAGGTTTGCAGGTTTGGGTTCATGATCCCATCAATAAACACAAGCTCAGTGACACTTTTGTAAGAAGAACAGCCACAGACATTTCCACCTCTGTGCTTAATGCAGTCCAACTGGAATTTTTCTCCAGATTTTCTCCAAACAAACAGTCCACTATCAGTTTGTTGTGGTGCTGAAAGAGTTTCCCTGAAACAAACATTACTTACTTAAACATTTTACAATATGAAGTAACCTAAAGAACTTAAAGTTTACCAGTGGTTTAGTGGTTAACCCCATGAAAATCCCAGGCTTATTACATACTAAGGCTTATTATTTAGTAACTACAGGGACTTCAGTGCAAACGGGTGGAGCTATTCTTAGGTTGCCCTGTCCATTTAAGGGGTTAAAGTGTCCAAATACTTTCCATTAAAAAAAAATACTCATATTCATCAGATGAGCCTCATCAACCTTCCAATAAATGATGCTTGGAGCATTTATAAAGAATGTTTTTGTGCAAAAATGCAGTAACACTTTATTTGGACAGTCCACTTTAAATGCTTTGTAGATACTTAATTCACTTTCAAATTACATTCAACTAAATTGACCATAATTTTTTAACTGTAAACCTGGCTCTAATCCTAACCCTAACCTTAACCTCAACCCAAAACCTAAACCCAACCCTCACCTTGGTCCTAGCTCTAACCCTGGTCCCAAACCCCACCACTGTTTAGAATCCACTGAGTTTCAACAGATAATTTGTTAACAATTTGAACATCTGTAGATAATCTATAGGGCTCTATAGTGGACTATCCACATGAAGTGAGACCAAAAATGCTTGTTGTTTATTTGTAAAATAAAATTCTCATGACACAAATATTCTTTCAACTTTTTATGTTAGTGAATATTATACGTGACTCACGTAATACGCATCAATAAACAACAGAATTAAAGACACTGACCGAAGAATCACAACAAACGAGCAACAAAGCAGAGCAATGAGGATAAAAGATACTTCTTTATTAATTAGTTCACTTATGAGCATTTGTAACACACATTTTCAATATCCTAAAACATATCAAAAGGAAGCAGATATGATTTAACATTACACACACAAAGAATTTACAAATGTATGCATTCATAACTGTGAACCATGATAATGAGACATTCAGAAACATTCTTTTTTTAAGTCGCTCTGATACTGACAACTCACAGAGAAAGCAAATATGTTCCACAACACCTCTGCACTTACAATCATGTGGGCTGACCACGCTTTAGCACCATGAGGTCACTAGTATTTTTTTGTCCACCACTGTTATGCAAACTGTGACTTTTTGAACACGTACAATTTTACGTCAACGTGCACTAAAGAAAACGTTCCCAATGTTAATGATATTTAGCCTCCAAAGTTGAAAATATAATAGCAATGATGCCTAGACATTCTACACAATATGGCTGAAACTTAGTCATTGCTTTTTCATACCCTCATTTCATGTTGATGGCAGATGAGATTATTCTAAATGGGGATATTTAAACAGGCTTGCATTCTCCATACCTTCTTACACCTTTTGGTGCTAATCCAGTATTGCTTTATGTAAAACATGTTTCTAAAGATGACTCTGACGCTCCTAAATCTAAGAACACAACCTCCTTAGCACAGTGAATCAATTTAACATACACAGCCTCGTTTTATAGTGGAACAGTTTAAACATTCAGTGGTGGTCAGTTATGGAAGGCCCAGTGAGCATGCTGAGCCATACAGGCATTAGGTGCTTTGCTTATGGAATGACCTAACTAACTTTCTGAAACTCCTTTCCTCCTAACAGCATTGGTCAACATCTCAGAATACACCTGCGGACACACATTTCCTCCTTATTAAAGTGCCATAATAACATGATTGTGGTTTTGAGGAAGTACATATTTCAGAAGAAATAGAAAGACTATATACAACGTCTGGATACAAACTCTAACGCAGCATGTGTGTACATGAAAGCGCATTTCCATCCTATGCTGGAAATAAACATGCAAAAAAAATAGGGATGCGTGATGAAATTAGAATCATATCATATAGGCAAGTAATTGCTTAAAAAATTGGCATGGACAGACGTTTAGATTTGACAGATATTTCAAACCAGTATTTGATGACACATCTGTTGTACTCTGGAAAAGCAAAATGTTCAAGTGATGCTGGGATACTGTGCTAAAATGTCTGTATTTTATTGATTTAGCTGCATTTGTAACCCTACAGAAATACGTTACACTCCTCCATAATGCTAATCCAGGTGGCTGTAGTCCAGATTTCAACATTTCATAAATGTCTACGTATCTGCAGATATGTACACCAAAAATATTGGATATCAACATCAGCCCACAATTCGTATATGAGAGAAAATCTAAAAGTACAAAAAACAAACAAGAAAAAAAAAAACTGTAACAAGGAATCAGATAAACATATTAACAATTAAATACAGCAGAACAGAAAACATTCAGCACATTTTTGCACATTTGACACAACATTCCTAATGTCCTGAACCTCCTCCGCCACTAGAGGGCAGTGATAAGTTTAAGAAGAAACAAGAAACAAAAAACAGAAAAACACAGAGAGAGAGAGAAAAAGAGAGAGAGAGAAAGAAAGACGTGTACTCTGTGCCATTAGCTATGTACGGAAGAAAAGAAATGACTTGAGCCTTGAGCAACTGATGCGTTTGTCACAGATGTCACAGTGGAAACTAATCAAATATTGCCAAACCTATTTGTAGCAGCACAGTTTCATAGTGGGCTGCTTTCGCATACCACGCTTGTCATGTTCTTCCTGCATAATCCCGTTTAACCTGTACATGCAGTCACTAGGCATACATCTCTACAGCTATGCATGACATCTCATACATCCACACAAACAGTTCCAGACGAGTCTGTAGCTGCTTTATGAAAGAGCCATAAATGCTCTTAGTGCTCTTAGCAAGCCAAGTCTCACTGGCGTGGTCCAGACGCATTAGTGCAGGCAGTATGGCCCACCTCTTCAATCTGAAATAACTTCCCCCAGGGACAATGCGAAAGCTGCTGTAAGATGCAGAGGAGCAAGTGAGAGAGACATTCAACTGGTCTCCAAACAGACTGAAGCGGAGAGGTACTGGTGATCTATTAAAAACCCTGCAGTTAGTCAATTAAAAAGTCCTACCTTCAGCTATTACAGAGCACTACTGCACCACGCCGTGAGGGAAGAAAACAGCGCTCAGTTCATACAATCAAAGGTGGTATTGAGTGCTTGTGAGACTCGGATACAATCAGATATAAATCACAGGACTGATTAATACCTCCTAAGCATGTAGTAATTCTTTGTGCAAACATCTAAACCTAATGTAGATTTAAGCTAATTCATCAAACATAACTTCAGTAAATCTTTGGCTAAGACGGATTTCTCTCATTTGAGCTTTCCATACCAGCTTGATACGAGATCCCTCGCCTTCCCCTGCCTGTGAAACTCCTGAGTTGAGAGAGAGTGTAGGAGGAGAAGCAGAGTGTAGATCCACTACAGCTCCACAGCAGTACCCTGGGTTACACAGGAAGAAAGGGCCAATATGCTCCAATCATCTACTATAGGCTTCAACATCCACAACAAGAACAGCCAACAGAGAACTCAGACAGCAGCAACACATTACTTGAAACTCTACACACGTATTGAATGCTCTCCTTTTCACCTTATAAATCACCTTTACAATCGCATGCATGTTTATGGGTGATTACAAGTGCGCCCCACTAAGTAATATGTTGCAAGCATTAAAGATAATGACTCTGATGAAAGGAAACACACACAAAGCTTATCTCAGAAAGCATACACGACCCAACTGCTGAGGTACATCTTCCCTCCCACATGCGACCAAAAGATGTAGCTAATGTGAGTCAAGGGAACTGAAACTGTTGCAGTGGGTTGGGTGTAGCTGAAGAGAGCAGTGAGGCCCAGAATAACATGTTACAGATAAAGGACATATGGGCCACATCACACCTGGGCAACAAACAAGAAGATGGCTATGACAATGGGGGAGGTAGAGACTCTTCCTCTTAATTCTCTCAAACAGCGTTCCCTCTTCATCGTGGACACAGGTCTCTGAATGTTTGATGAAGAGTGTGTGCAGACTTCCCTCCATTCTCTTACACAGTTTATTGCGCAGCCCCCGAGCCCACCCATTCCGACTTCCTTGCACACTCATTTCCATACATGTGAGCCAAGCATATGATTGGTGTTGGGAGCAGATGCCCCTCCCATGGGCTGCCCGTATCCCATTACGTTGTTGGCACCGCAGAAGTTCATGCCTGCCATGTGGTGAGTCATCTGAGGAGAAACACAAATAACCAGTCGTTATAAGGAAGGCGTAATCTCACTACTTCATTAAAGACAGGTGAATTTCACTAACCGCCCATCTTTAAGCAAAGTTTGTTCCATGCATGGTTATTCAAATATATGGACACAAACTTATTTCAGTGTTTGTTCAATTTTGGCTATAAATATCAAAACTGTCAAAAATGGGAATTTCTTTTAGAAATGGGATTTCTTGTAGCATGTTAGCGCTAAGCAAACTTTGGTACACATTACCACAGACAATGCTCACTTTTGTTTAACCAGCCTAAAGTGGTAAGCTATGTCATATTATGAGTATCAATTACCGTGACATACACTGTGCTACAAAAATCTGTCATGTCCCCACGAACAGTGTCATGATACAATATCTGAAAAATAGTCAATGCGACTTGACATCAAAACTGGTAAAAGCAACCTTTATGACATACTGGAATAAGTGTTTATAGATGTTTATGTCAGCAATCATAAAGGGCTTATGTAGGGGTCATGTAACCTTATGAACACTGTCCTACAGAAGTGTTGTATTTATTAGCTCCCAGAAATCATTAAGTCTTCTCTGAAGGCCTAGAAGGTCCTGAGGTCCTCTGGTTTACTTGCTCTGTGTAACTGAATAAGTATGTGAAGGGCAGTAGTTTCGAATGAAATATAAAATAAATAGTGTATTGTCTTACAATTATCAAACATGTTTTTGACTGATCGTGTAACATAGAACATTATAAAAATTTGTCATTGGGATATTCATCTCACAATGCACATATTCAAATAGAAAAAACATTAAAAAGCCCATCCCTAGTACTGCATGTTGGTTTTACCTGTGCAATGTTCCACTGCAGCTGCTGGGCCTGCTGCACAGCATACGGTTGCTGGGGCAGTGCCCCTACACCCCCCATCACGCCGCTCTGCACTCCCATCATGCCCCCCTGCACTCCCGCCATGTAAGGAGTAGGGGCAGCCACTGCTGGCTGTGCCATGATGCCCGGCTGTCCCATCATGTTCACTTGTGGGGCCATCATGGTTCCCATCATGCCTTGCTGAGTGGCCAGAGCCTGGTAATGCCCGTACCCAGCAGCAGGGGCATAGCCCATCGGGGCTGCTCCCATGTACATTCCAGCTGCAGGCAAAATACACACACAAAAGGTACATCTTGAGGCAGCATGTTCCTCAATCCTAGCTCTGGAGTAACACCAACTTTGCATATCTGAGTGCTGTAACCATGTCATGCAAGTACTGTAATTTTTTTTGTAGGAATTTTTGCTGGAAAAAGTAATCGAAGATGAATTCTTAGGCCTGAATTCTTACCATGAGCAGCCATGTTAGTCTGAGGTGTAACGCTGCTGTATAGAGACAAGATGGAGTCTTTGGACATTTTCTTGCTGTTCTCATCACTTTTGGCAGGTGGGTCCAGGAAAAGGCTGAGGTTCTCTGGTACTGATGCTGCTACCCGGCCTTTGGGCATGGAGCTGGAAACAGAGCCCGATGCAGGCTGCAGGAGGACAAAATACTCTTTTATTAGAAATGGAATGACCGATTGGCTATTTATCGTTATCGACAGATTTTCAGCCTAAATATGCAATTTCTCTAACATAGTCAATTCTGAGAGCTGATCAGTGACAGAAAACATATGAGCCATATTTAACCTCAGGCACCAGAATGTAACTACTGCACCAGTAAAGCTGGAACGGGAAATTCAGCCTTGCTTATCTGTTTCACTAATGAATAACGTTATATTACACATTTGGCTCTTTGGCTACTTTGCTGTAAAGTCACTGTGTAAATGTGCAGAGCTGTAATTAATGCAGTTTGTTGTCAAAGCATTGAGGATTTGTTTCTGTTAGTACACTGTACTAGCTTTATGACCTATGGCTTTGGCAGGGACTGAAAATAGAAATAAGATGCACAACTAAAAGTGATCGGATGTCAGCCCTTTTAGCCTTTTCAGTACATTTAAAAAGCCATCCAGGAACCAGGAATTGTTATTTACATGGCAATGCTAGCCTCAGGTGACAGAATGTAACTGCACCATTTAATCTGGATCAGGAAAATTCAAACAAGAAGCTGGTGGAAAAAGATGCTGACTGAAGCTTCATTGAGAGTTGAAAAGCATGAACAGAGATGAGGATGTTGCTCTTTTTCTGCTTGACAGGTGGGTAATATTAACTTATTTTTGCTGTTTTACAGAATCAATAGTTTAGTATTGTTTTGTCTCATTTGCTAATGTTTGTAGTTAACTTCGCAGCAGCAATTGTAGTGACTATGCTAACCCACAACCTAGCTAATGTTAGTTACATTATTTGCTGTTCATTCTAATGTTATATCATGGCATTTTCCCATACAATGTTTGCAAAGGATTTTAATTGCCATGCAGATCTAAAAAAAAGTGTTGTTTGACTTGGCAATGCATGTTCATGAATTTGGGGGTCAGAGCTTCTGAAGGAGCACGGAAGGGAGAGGTTTATTTGCTTTTAAGTTGAGAATTACTTCTGCGCCTTCGAATATGGCTTCCAGCCCCTCCCTCGATTAGCCGATTGTGCTGAAAAACACTGATCGGTCCATCTCTATCTTTTACCACAGTGAAGTCACACTTGTTACCATGTAAGACAATATTAAACTCATTTATCAGGTCAAATTTTGGTTTACCCAAACATTTTTCTCAGAATCTGTACAGATAAGTAAAAGCCTTACTGTGCTCTTGGCAGAGTTTGAGTTGGCAGCAGGCAAGGAACTGAACAGATCCAAAGCAGGGCTCTGCTCAGGACTGGCCTTTCCATTTGCCACAGGCACTGGAGGAGCATCTATGAAAGAAATATCCATTTAGAGTCAAATTGGTGGAGCTAGTTGCCGCCACAGTTGTGATGTTTTTTTGCATAGGATTATATAGCTCTGGTGTTTCACAGACAACTGAATAAAAAAAAAAAACTGTACAGCAAGAATAAATAAACAGATTCATACAGAAGAACATCTACATGGTCAAGACAGAGGCCTGACTGGAATCCAAGTAAAATGATGTGGTTTGATATGATGCAGTCCATTATATAATTAACGCAGAGGAATGGCCCAAAATGCCTTCTAACACAATCACTGGACTGATTAGCAATGTATGATTGAGAATTTCTAATAAAGGAAATTCCACTGGTTATTAAATATGAGGATTGGGCCTATTTTCCATCAATAACCTTGACTTTTTAGACCACTAATTTAATAAAGATGTGATGATAAACAGATAAAATACTGTCTGTTGTTTATTAAATAAGCCTGCCTTTGATTATTATTATGACTTAGATGAAGAACACATCATGTTTTAGAAGCTATTCATCCACAAAACCAGATCATTTTAAAGGGTTCACAAACTTTTTCTTACAACCATAAATACGGGTCAATGTCAAAATCTTACCTAGTCCTAAAAGATCATTTACAGAGTGGGACTGCTTCTTTGGAGTGCTCTTGAACTGCTGAGGCTCCTCCTTCTTCTACAAGACAAGAAGACAGATTAGAGATATATTAGGTCGCTCTAACAGCTCTACTATAATCTTCTTCGAACATTTTAAGTAAGAGAATGTCTGATACATTCTTCAAACTAAACAAACACAACTAACCAGCTTCATCTTCTCAAAAACAACAGGTGCCTCTTTCGTTACTGCCGCACTCTTCTCTTTCTGGAAATTGTTGATGGGTAGATAGACATATTTAATTAATTAATTAACATCTACATAAAACAAGAAACTTTTTTTTAATATAAAGACTGTGGACTCACTCGAAAAGCTTGGATATCAATGCATTTGTCCATATATTTCTTCTTTTCATACTTGTCCCGGATGAATATCTCTGCAGCTCTATACAAAAGTGTTTAAAGAAAACAGTGGCATTGGAATGTTAAGTGTCTGAGTTCATATCATTGATACTATATAAAGGATTAACAGAGAAGGATACTGGTCTGTCTCCGGACGCTGGAAGCACTCAGGTAAAAAGGCCTCATAGAGCCGCCGTGCCTTGGCATTCCCCATTTCCTGCACACACTAAATAGAAACAAAACCATCCAGTAGCATTCATTAGCATATGTCATATTTTGTAAAGAACATGCAAAGAAAGAAACAATACAAACGTCCAAAAGCAGAATCCTATGTTATCTTGCAAAATGCCTCTATGCAAGATACAGCCCTGGTCTGTCTCAGAAAACCTAACACTATAGACTTATTACGTTACATGTCATTTTGCCAAAATAAGGAACTCTGATTCTGAGTTGAATGACATTAAAAAAAAAGTGATAAAAAAAGATGATGTTCCAAAGTAGATGTTTTTTTCCCCATACATGTCATAGGATTATGAGGTTGAAATACAATTAGTGCTACATACATGCTACAAGCAAGCCAACACTCTTAAGTATCAAAAAGACTTGACATTAGAGACGCATCGATCCCAGTTTTTCTCTTCCGATACTGATACCTGAACTCTGAGTATTGGCTGATACAGAGTGTCAATCCAATATCAGTGCATATTTCAAAATATTTATTTCAATTCTGTATACCTAATGTTGTCTAACACAAGGCTCTGACTAGAACAAAAGAGTAATACAAATGAAAATGAATAAAATGAATAGTGCAACAGCAAAATAAACAGTAATTATCATGCCAGTGTAAACTTTTCGGTGCAACAATAAAGTTGTAAAATCTAAAAATTCAAAAATGTGAGTTTACCCCTCACAACTTTAGCTTTACAAGTATTACAAGCTGCTGTGCTACTAGCAGCTGCGTCAAGCGTAAATTACCTCCAAATTACAGAAGTTTGTTATTAGCCAGCATGAGTCATGTTGGCGGTCTTGTTAGCTGACCTTTAAATTGAGTATTTTTATATTGAGGCACCATTATTATTCATTTCATATTTAACCACATTACTCAAATTTAAGTATAATTTTTTTTAGCCTACATGAAATTGATAAAAATGCAGGCGTAAGAATTATGTTTTCGTTCATGAAGCTGATACAGTACATAAACAAATTCCTGCGTGGGGCTTTTGTTCTGATGCACCACAGCTTAGAGGCAAGTTCACACTTGCTATTTATTTATTTCCTTAAACAAAGACATCTGCCTGAAATGTGATCATTAATAATAATTACATATATGAGCTTTCTGTTCTGTTAATAAACACAGAAAATGCTGCTGATGTTTAGCACGTTTTGGAATAACACACTTCAAATAAAGAGCAACCGTGACTAATGCTGCAATCATGTTTGAAAAAAGCGTCATTCCACTCTATGCACCTGACAGCGGCATGAAATCACACAAACATTCCACAAGCCATCAGATTCCTCAACTCCCATGGACCCACACACACATATACATAACAACATGGGACAACTCACTCCCCACTTCTTGCAGTTCCAAATTATGGAACACTGTAAAAATATAGTTACTGCATTTCACTGAAACACTTCATTTGACATGACTGTAGATCTGAATCCTTGCATTTTTGCACATTCTGTCCACAACAATTATCTGACCTTGCATTTTTGCACATTTTATACTTCACTTTAACATTGTTAGATGCTGGAATTTCTGTATCAGCCAAATACTGTATACTGTGCATTGCTGTTCTGGTTGCTACCTCAGTGACTGTTATGCTCATATATGCTAGACTATCTGCTAAGCTGCTAATATGTGATACTATGTTACATCCTCCTTTGCACAGCTCCACATACTCTCAGTACTGTACTGCCTGTGTTCTGTTTTGTATTTATTTGTATTTATCTTTGATATTTATTTATTGTACTGTATGGTCTGCACTGTGTATATTGTATTGTCTCGCACTTGTGTTCCTGTGTTGCACCATCGTCCTGGAGGAATGTTGTTTCATTTCACTGTGTACTTGTATACAGCTGAAATGACAAAGCCTTGACATGGTGACTACGATGCCAGTGAAAATCAATGATTATCAGAGGAGAGCTTTAGCAGTATAGATTGTTTATTTCAGGTGGAAAAAAGGAGGAGGACGATCTGTGCTCTTTTATTTTTGTTGTATAACACCGAGTTTATCAACAATGAGATGTTTGGCATCTAAGGCTCCCCAAAAAAAAATCAACATCCGGTTTATTCCTCTGCTGTGGTCAACGATAAAAGTTGGGAAAACTGAACTCTTAACAAAGTGCTCCGAACACCGCTGCGGTCTGTGGAACGTTGTTGCTAGCAGTGGCAGAATTTTCTATTGCGGTTCTGTTGCCGTCGTCCGTCTACAGCAAACGTGAATGCAATATCAGAGAAGGTATCGAATGTGTATCGGACATGTCTGGCTGATATCCTATTCGTTTAATAAGGTGACTATTGGTGCATCACTACTTGACATCCCATGAAAGCAGAGCTGCTACTACTACTACACTTGAAGAACGTTATATAACAGCATTTACTCAAATTGTAGGCTCCTACTGTCAAAGTCATTTAACTACCACATTTGACAGAGCTTTCTGGTTTGCACTGGGTGTTCTGTTGAGGTTGCCAGTCTTATAATATCAATTCAATGCACAGGAGTTTTAGCTTTCATGTAACAATATTCATATTTCGACCCTGTAATTCAGAGGATTCAGTGACAACGTACACCTCTTCACAAGGTATTTCCTTGGTCTGCCTGCCAAAATCTAACACTATAGACCTGAGCTGGTACATCGTTTTGCACAAATAAGGAATTCTGGGTCTAAAGTTACGTTCACACTGCTGGGAAAAGTGACCCATATCTGATCATCTTTATACATGGCACAGTTTTGTTTTTCTGTTTCAATTCTGATTTTGGCCTCATTAATCCGAGGTGCTGAATCGTGACCACTTTCTGAACAGACAGGTACAGACAACTTACTGCAATGTCACAGAAATGCCTGTTATTATGGATTAGAAGAAGTAGATTCAAAGGAGCTTCACAACAACTAGATGCAATTCCTTTATTAGAATATGTTTTGTCCACTGTACACTTTCCCCCGACTGTCACAAATACCCATATACAGTCTAAGTCTAGCACACTGGCTCTGGATACCTGAATTTGCTCCTGGGTCCACTGGTCCAGGTTGACAGACTTGACACGTGATATGTGTACACCAAGATTCCGGTGTATTCCTGCACATCGGATACAGATGAAGATTCCCAAATTCCAAGACGCCCATCTTGGACCTGATGAAAGATAAGAAGCAAGAAGAAGAAGATAAGAGAAAAATAAAATTATCTGTTTTATTTATGCTGGATGACTCAAACTCAAGACTATTTATTGGCTCAAAAAAGAAGCATGATTAACCAGGGCAAAGTATATTGTCACTGTCTAAAGAAAAACATGCATCTCCTTTTTTTCTGATTTTCACTTTTCTACATTATTCGAGCATGGCAGATGTCCTTTACATTGTGGGAAATTTTCATGATGAATGGACTAACAAAAATGCTCCAAAACTACTTCGAATAAAATCCCTTTAAATTAACTTACACTGAAAGTAAAGAATGTTTTTGCCCTCTTCTGTAAAGTTACTATTTTGGAGATGCTTATTTTTCTTTGGACAGCAATGATATTCATAGACAGGAAGGCAGGAGTGTGTCACGCTTTCTACCATACACACCGAGGCAAATATAGAAATTATGGAGAACAGTGAGTGAGTGAGAATGAATGTCACGATTTTGCTAAAGTCTGGCTCTTCTTCCTCTCTCACTCGATCCACATGACACAGCGAACTGAGTGACTCTTCACAGGCTTGTGGGAGGACCACTGCGCTCCACTCTATCCTCAGCCCCAGAGTGAGCCGTGACTCAGACTGAGCTGTGGGTTTGTGTGGGGCTTACACAGTGCATCTGTCTACCGAGGGGGCGCTGGGAACGCCAGCTGCTCGAGGGAAGAATAATGATCACTTTCTCTTTTCCTTATTTGCCCCTAAAACAAATTATGTAACTGTCCTGTTCCAGGACATGAGGAGGCTTCAAAGAGAATGCTGGAGCTCGTCTCTCTCTGAGTGGGATTTGCGAAGCTCCTCAGCCCTGGCAGCAGAGCAGTGATAGTGGCCATTAGGTGGCAGCACTAGGTAACTCTTTATTTCGTTGAAGGGAACACAATGCACCAGTGTTCTGTCTTATGATAGGTGATGTCACATTTTCTTGAGTGTTGTGGCAACATTATTGTTTGTTGGTCTTTGTGTAAGGAGAGACATTAAGCACACTGGGCCAGTATAACAAGAGTAGTGCTTAAACAGATGTAACAGATTTGCTCCTTTTCTTTCATGTCTGCCAAAGTAGACAAATAAACACACATATAGATATATATAGATGTAAGCAGACAAATGCACACACACACACACACACACACACACACACACACACACACTTATATCTATTTATATGCTGTAAAACACTAAGAATCAAAATTATAATAAAGAATGCCATTTTTGAAAACCAGTGGCCAAATCATGCTGATTAAATAGCTGCTCAATTTTGTGACAAGAAATTACTATAAATAAATACAGTTTATTATATTATTATAATAACAATTTGCTATATTTTCCATACCGTTACCTCTTTCTCCCAGAATACCTTAAAACTGTAAAACCACGCATCTGCATTTTGTTGTCAAGTTTATAACACTTGAATCTACACCGTACAAGTTATTTCTGAATAAAAATTTAGATACATTACAAGTGACTCCAAACTTTTGAATGGTAGTGTATATCCAGTCATATGCAAAAGTTCGAAAACTTCTGATCAAAATACATGTTTTGTAGATTTTATAAGTGAAAAGAAGCACTTAAATATGGCATTTGTTTGCAAAATGTAGTGCACAATTTCAATTTATTGGCTAAGGTTAACACAGTGGAAAAAAATAAAACAAAATATATTATAACTTTTATAGAGGATTTTATGTTTTATTTCCCCCCCAATGTTAAATTCAGCAAATAAACAGTAACTCTGCTTAGTAACGGCCTGACTGCTCATCTTAAAGATAATGACAATCCGTGGATGAAAAGCATTCATACAGTATCTCTGTGGAGCTCTATGTTGAAAAGTTAAATGATCCAGTCTCTGCATTCAACATGAAAAACAAACTCTCCTAAACACAATGATGGTCTTCAGGTATGCCTCGTTTAAAATGTTCTTATCAGTCCACAGTAAGCTCAACCAAGCAGCTTAAGCCCAATAACAATCAGTTACAATTCTGTGCTTGTATAGTGACCATGGTCAGCTTAACTACTAAGTGGAAGAATTCAACAAAGTCTCTTTGGCTGTGAACATTATTAGCTCTTTCCTGCATTGCTCAGATCAAGCTGTTAATGTGACAGGGCAGAGAACAATGATAGAGGGATATCCCCACAGGGACACAGACTGCTGGCAAGGTCCAACCCAGAGAGAGCTCTCCCTCCTCCTATCCCATTTCTATCTCTCTGACCCTTGCTTGTGGCCCAGGGTAATCAGCTTGTAGGGCATTACTGAAGGCTATTGGCTGGAAGATGGTGACATGCGAGGCAGTGTTAGTGAGAGCGTGTGTCTCTGTGTGTTTATTTGTTGGAGGAAGGCAGAGATTGCCAGGAAAGAGATGTTGGACAGAACATGTGAGCCTGTGATCAACTCCCACGTGGAGTCCAGCAGGTTTTAGGCTGACTCACGGATCAGCAGAAGCATCACACAGCACTCAGGAACACTGGCATGAGATGCAACACACCATGCTTGTTATCAGCATGTGGACTGTATTAGAGAGCACCAGCAAGAAATTAAACTCAGCAACCCAACACATTTCAGAACATACATTCTTTCACTTTAATCACTGAAAGGGAACTCCGAGCTTAGAACGTCCAATACAGCAACCAGAAATGGTATTAGGGCAGCTACTGATGATGATTTTGATAATCAACCAATCTCTTAATTACTGCTTTGATTAGTCATATGTTTTTATATTTATTAAGAGTGTAACGATTTTTTTTCAGGGCTGTTACAGATACAAATTATTAGTAAACAAAGAGGCCGATAACTGTTATCAGTTAAATTTAAGTTATAAATTCAAGTTTCTAGTGTGAAAATTTACAGGAATTCCTACACAAATAACATTTAATAAACATAATCCTTAATCAAATACCAACACATTTGAACATTTAAAAAAAATGGAGCTCCCAGAAAGTATAAACTAGGGGTGGGAATCTTTAGGCACCTCACGATTAGATTCTGAGGGCTGCGATGTGATTATAAAACGATTATCAATGCATCTTGACGCATCTTTTTTTTCTATACAGGATTTCTATTTTCTCACTGTGTGAGGACTTGGTACTTTTGAAGCTAATTATTTGTAATTATCCATTAAGAATTCACTTCCAATATCTTTTATTAATAGAACAAATGGAAGTGAAGTGACAAGTGAACTGGAACGCTCTCATTCACTGCTCTGGTTTGGAGCACATGAGACACTGCTGCCACTCGTCTGCGATAAAATGCGCTGTTACGGTGAAATAAGATCCAGTGGTAATGGATGTCCACACAGCACGTTACTGCCATCCTACCCGTTTTCTTTAGTGATTTTATAACTTTGGTTTTGGTCTCATTGTAGAAGCTGGAGAATGAGAAGCACCTTTAGCCTTGTAAAACAGTCAAATGTTGAGAGACATTTTACAAGAAACTTCTACTTTCGAAGAAAAGTTTTCTGGCGGAGATGGGAGGAAAGCAGCTAAAGCTTATATTAGCTTATTATAGATGCACCTTTCTGAAACATAATCAAGCCAAACTACAGACATGTTTATTTCAATCATGGATGCATTAGAAACATGTCCTGCTGATGAAATCCCTCATAAATAAAAACATGCTGTATTAACGCGTGGGAACAAGATACTAATGTGTGGCCACGACTTCGTAAGGCATGGGAACGAGATCATGCCTCATGAAGCTGTGGTCAAGGGTTAATTATCTCATTTCCACACCTTACTAAGTCGTGGCCATGCATGGCCACTCATTATTTTTATTTATATGGGATGTCACCAGCAGGGCTCCGTAGATGTGCATTCATCACATAAAAGCCCACTTACTGGCAGTGAAAGAAGTTAAAATGCCAATTCCAATAACTGGATCTGATAATCAGCCGGGCCAATAATTGGACAACTCCGAATATTAATGCTATAAGTCATAATTAAGCCTTTGAACATCTTGTTCTGCCATTATAAAGACTGTAGGAATTTCTATGCACTTGAAACAAAACTACAAAAACAGAAATCACCTTTAGAGATGCACACTTACAAGTCAACCTTCTAAAACGGTTCTCTATCAAAGCTATTTTAAAAGTATCATAAACTCATAGGTTTTCCACAGTCTTTCTTAGTAATGATTTTCAGAGGTTTAGGAAACTATGAGCATATATTAATATAGATGACAGATAACTGTGCTCTTTGTTGTATGTGCTACTTTCTCTATAGCTGGTCATGCCCCTGGTCTGTGCAAGCTTTACAAGACTCCCTGCTATACACCACTTCCCACAGGTGCAGCTTGTGTCTTGCAAATGTTTTCCCTCCTTCAATGAAGTTACACAGCAAACTGGTCAAAAACCCACTGCCAACATTTTTTTTGTTGTCGATGTTATCAATGTCATTAATAAGTTGTTGCAACTCTACAGCAGGTTGTGGCGCTGCTGCAACAGCGGCGTTCAAATAATACTGAAAGACAATCTTTAACAGTCATGGTGATGTACTGAGAATTATATGGGAACATAGAGAAATCTTTTTTGGCACTTTCCACACAATGCAGTTGATTTGAGCAATCTAGTGAGCGACTTCCTCTTTTTGCCCTGGTGAAGGTGGTTTATGGTCTGTGGAAATTCTGAGGCAATTCACTGCAACAGCCAGAAGTCATAATATTGCAGCACTGAAAACTGTATGGTCGTTCACTGATGCTCAGAAACTGCTGATATGCTGCCAGTAGGACTTCCGCAAACGCTAATTCAGCACCAAGGTGCTATAAACCCACAGGATCAAACAAGAGGATGAAACAGAAGAAAGAACAATGGATATATGGTTTCCTATTTTATTTAACCGTTAAATTAATCAGGCACGACATTAAGAACTTATTCTTATTTAAAATGGCTGCCTTAATAAATAAAAGTAGAGACAGGAAAATGGAAGTAAGCTGACCAGGATGGACTTTAGTTGTTGTTCTTCATTCACCTGCTG